GTCGTTAATAACAAAAATTTCTTACACTAATAACATTTTAAAGTGGCTGACATAACATTATACTTACTTTCTCACTATTAACATTTATATGAAAATATATTACCAGTGCCGACATTATTAATTGCGTTGTTACGATCAAAATTACTCCCTATTAAACTTTTTGACCCGGCTGGTTATCCTCTTACTGCCTTGTTGTGGACATTTTCGCGAAAAGTAACCCAAGGCTACGGTATTAACATTTTTAGACCGAGGGATAACTATATACTTTTTCAACCAGTCGATTATCCCTATAGCTACATTGTTAGACCGAGTGATTAATCAAACACCATAATTATTAATAAAAACAAATTGGTCACATTCTCGACATTTTGAAGCTCCCCTTAGCATTTTACTGCCTCATAGTCATGCTGGTTACATTATTCACATTTCAACAGGTCGATTAATATTTTACTGCGTCAACATTTACTTTTGCTAATGATATTACCACATGTTATGTTATTAAATTTATACACAGTTAAAAATAGATTCACGACTGTCAACAATTTGTACAACAGTCACTACTAGATTACTCTCCAAAAACATAACTATCCACAACGAAGGTGAAGACATTTTCTGCTTTCCTTTTGAACGATTTACAACAACATTGTTAAAATTTTAAATAGGAAATATTAATAACTTCCATTATGATTATTAACATTTTCCTAATAAGCAGTACCATAATTCGTATCTTTGTCAACGAGTGGGTATAAGCGTATTAATTTTTTAAAAATAATTATTAATAAACAAGGGTTCGACCTAGTGGTAATACTACTAGCCTATAACCTAGAGGTCCCATATTCAAATCCTTTTAGTAGTACCTTAATCACAAAAATGAAAGGGTATGCCAAGTCACCATAACTTGGAGAAAACGCTCGACCTCTTCCATTAAGTGGTCGACCACTTTCTAAGAAAATGGTAAACCTCTTCCACCAAGTGGTCTACCACTTGAGTCATTCGGTCTACCACTTCCAGATGTGGGTCGACTTGATGACACACTTACTTCAAATGGTCGACCTCTTCCACCAAGTGGTCAACCACTTTCCAAGAAAATTGACGACCTCTCCCACCAAGTGGTCTACCACTTGGGTGAACCGGTCTATCGTTTCCTTAAATGGGTCGACCTGATGACCTAATTACCTTTAAGTGGTCGACCTCTTCCATCGAGTGGTCAACCACTTTCCAAACAAATGGTTTACCAATTCCACCAAACAGTCTACCACTTGAGACAACCGCCAACCGGTCTACTGCTTCTAACAATGAGTCGACCAGTGAAGCACTTATTTTCAACTTACACTTAATTTTTGGAGTACGTAGACCGCTTCCACCAAAACAGCCTATCAATTCTGCAAAAGGTTTACGCACCTCTTTCGGTATACGATCTCTACTTTCGGCGAAAAGTCGACCAGATGACATAGTTATCTTATACTTACATTAGAAAAATAATGGACAATAGGAGACCAACACTATAAAATTGTTTTGTAGTAATGCAATATTATCTCACCTGTGACAACCAAATCCCTATGAAGATTTGATGGTCATTATCAATTGTTCATGATGACGTTGACAACGTTTAGAATATAATTAGTCATTGTATTATTAACGATATACAATATCGTATTCGTTCTTATAATCATTCTCTTACAAATGACTATTAACATTACTTCAATGTATTATCAACGTTTTTTTTATCAAATTTCATCGATGTATCATATCATCATCAATGTTAACGCTTGCAATTATTAAAGATAGAGATCATCATTATTAACGATTTCTCGTTATTTTTTATGAAATTTTTTTGGTGATCTATGATATCGTTACTAACCATTTCTCATCATTTTTCAATGAAAATCATATATCGTAAACTATGTTTTAACGTTGACAAGTAACGACGGGATGGTGTCGGAGGAACTCGTGTCCAAAACCCCGCTATAGTCCATTTTAATACCAGTTCAATACCGGTGGCCAAATGACGACAAGATGGTGGCATAGGAGAACGCTCTGGTGCCCGGATTGGGATGTTTGAGCATGCTCTGGAGGCTGGCTAGCGTACACGTATCATCGGCAGGCGATAATCACGTCGGTTCCGGGAAGTTGTTATGGGCTCTGGTTTCGTTGTTGCTGGAGGGGAAGGACAGGCCGGTGTTGCTCATAAGTCACAGGGAGGACTGGTCGGCGTTGGCTCGGACGCCAACGGGCTGGCCGAGGGATGGCAGTGGGATTGTGGCTATAACCGTCTTTGTTGGCTGTTGCTGGCGCGCGCCTTCCCTTCAAGGATTTCACGAAGAGAGAGAGCCTGGAATGGTTAAGGGTTTTAATGCTTCTCTCCTATTAATTTTTTTTTGACGGGTAACCTGTGAATGCATTCATCAAATCTAAACGGTTGCATCATCTAGTCGTAGCTAATGAAGAAGAAACATCGGAGGCCTATCTAGCCACACTTCTCGACTATCCCACCGTGTCTCACTATGAGCCATTATATACTCTGCGTGGTTAACTATTCTTCGCACATGGCGTATACTATCATTGCTGGAACCTATTCCATCTCGGGAGCAGTTATGGTGATTACTACAAAAGTAGTAATCACTGTGGTTACTAAGGGTAAATTGGGTATGAAAAATAAATTATATTAATTAATTAATTTTAATAAATTACATTTTAGGTAGTTACAAAATTTTTTTAATTACAATTCCTTTTCTTTCTCTCACTTCCGTAATCTCCGTCCATATTTCCTTTCCATATTTTTCTTAATCTTTCTGCAAAAGAAAAAACACGAAATCACTACCAATCCATTAGACAACTACTAACATTTTGAAAAACATCAATACCATTGCAGAAATAAATCTATACCATTACACGAAAACTACCAATATAAACAATCTATACCATTACAAAAGTCAAATAAATACCAAAACAACCAATATCACTACTACTGTGAAATCAAAACAATACCATTGCATGAATAAATCAATACCAATAAACTAAAACTACTCATACAAATAATTTACACCATTACAAGAGTCAACCAATACCAAAATCAATCAATGTCACTACTATTATGAAATCAAATCAATACCATTGTGGAAAACAAATTATACCATTTCATAAAAAAAAACAATCAACCAATATAAAAAAAACCATATCATCACCATCTCACCCCCACCATAGGCGTCTCTGGAATTCCACCATAGGCAATTCCAACAAGTTTTAGATTGTGTTTACGTGATTGGAATCTCCCCAGATCATCACCATCTCAACACCGCCGCAACTGATGCTCCTGCGAGCCGATTCTTCCTTTGGGCCGCGACGTGTTCAACGACAGCAGCAATGACTCCGCCGGGAGATCGCCGGGAAATCGGGGGTGGCCGAGGGAAGGGTGGCCGGCTGTAGGCGTCGTTGTCGTCGGGGGTGGCCGAGGGGAGGGGTTGGTGTAGGCGGCCGACGAGATTAGTGCGACAGAGTGGTGGAAGCGGCTGCGGCGGGTTTGGCTATAGGGAGGGTAGAACTAGGGTTTGGGTAGATTATATAGAATAATTGGGAGTGGTCACTATTTCATTTCCAAAATTACCCTAAAAGAATCTTGACCGTAAGATTAAAAAAGAAGGGAAAATATGAAATCTAATGGTATATAAAGAGGTTGCCACCATGATTACTAAAAAACAAGTAATCACCCTAACTCATTCCATCTCATGTATGCTTCTGCATATCCGCCGACATATGATGCCAATCTCGGTCTGAATCTCGTGCGCCTGCTGGAGCTTCTCTACCAAGGTCAAACAATCGACCTCTTGCTGTACCTTGAGGAATCCAAGTTGTCCCATGAGCTGGACGCCAAATTGTGCCTCTAGTGCTTCTGCCATCTCCGCTTCGTACGAGCTGCTAATTCTCTTGGCAGCCACTGCAAGGAAGTGGCCCTGATGATCTCTAAAAATAGCTCTAAGGTCTGCTCCTCCATCAGCGAACATACCGACATCAATGTTGATCTTGATACATCCCTCAGCTGCCCTCGTCCACTTGTCATGCTCCTGGTGACCAAAAATCATCGCATCTTCAGGGCCCTGGTTCTTGCGGTATATATTCATCAAGAAGAGATACCGCCCAGCCCAGTGCACTATCTCATTCTCGATCTGGCCATTGAACAAATGCACATTGTGCTCTTGAACCCACTCCATGCAGCTCGGCACCCCCTGTATAGCAAACGCTCGCTCCCAAGGTGTTCCTCGCCAAACCCGGCATCTCCAACTGCACTCAAAGAAGATGTGTCGTTGTGTTTCCACCTGATTACAGAAATTAAGGACAAGCATCGCTCCAATTTGGATTCTTCGTTACCACTCTCACCCCGGAGGCAGAATTTCTCGTGTAAACCGCCACATAAAGTGCCTGACTTTCGGTGGTAGTTTCAAAGTCCAAATGGCTTTCCAGAGCTTCTCGTTACCTGTTGGGGTGAATCTCTCCTCTGCCTTGAAGAAATCCAACCAATTCTTGTAACCACTTTTAGCCGAGAAACAACCATTATCACTGTGCTTCCATATCAGAAGGTCTTGTTCCTCCGCCCCCCTAAGAGGTATGGACATAACCGTTTGCGCAAGGGGCGCAGGGTGAAAGAACCCTCTTGTTAAGGATTCTAGAGACTGATCTTTGGCACCCGTAATTATCGTAACAATTAGGTATTTAGGGATTTAGATGAGAATTGAGGATTAGGGATTGAAGAACAGAATTGGGGTTGAGATAGAAGAATGGCCGACGGCCTTTAGGGAAGAGAGGGACGAGATTTGAGAAGGATTAGAGATTAGGTTTTGAGAGATACTTTCTGTAATATTATTCTTGACTGATTATGATGTAAACCCAACGTACATATAAATAGGAAATAAACCCAAAACCTAATAAACTAATCCTAACCTAATCGGCCTACCCTAGCCGCCCAACCCTGCTAATAAGCCTAACATAATAATTATTATATATATCTAACATTCCACCCTCCTTGAAGGCGGCCTTGTCCTCAAGGTTGCAGTTAACTTTTGTCTTCTTGACCTTCCGCTTTCTTCGTTTCCAATTGCGCTCAATCCCTTGAATGAACTCTTCTCGCACCAGTCCAACTTTCCTCGACTCTCCTCCACCCACGTGACATGTGTCACGTTCTTCATAGCCGAACAGTCCGCCATCTTCCTTTTCGAAATCAACGAATAAGAATCGTAGAATAGTTCTTCATTTTGCCCATCATCATTACCCACCTTGAGATCTTCAATGAAATGTTCCATAAATTCTTCCATGAGCTTGGTGGTGAAAACAACCCATAACTTTACCCAACCTTCCTTTCCTACTTCCTTGGGTCGGCCCACATTAGCTTGTAAGAATGAGTTGTGGCCCAAACCCAAGTCCAGCCTCTCCTTACTCCTAACTTCCCGTGGGCTTGTCTCCTCCAAGAGCCCACCTTTTAAGTCCACCCAGCTTTCTTCTTTCTTTAAATGACTTCTTTGTAAACTTATCCCAATAAGATAGCCATTGTTGGGCTCAATTTCCTTAAGACTTGGCCCATCAACGAACATAAACTTCCCCTTATGATGCGGCCCAATTGCCTCAAAGGAGCCCACCACTTCCTTCTCCTTTGCCAGCCCATGGTCAAGACTGATAGGCCAAAGTTCTGTATACTCTGGCCCACTAAGGTTGTAGGGTTGCAACTCTTGGAAGGGAAAGAGAGGCAACGAAGCGCATGAGGGAGGAGCATCGCCGCCCACCGTCTTCGTCTCCCTCGTCCCTTCTTTTCGCGACGGCCACCCTGGCTCTGACGCTTTTCTCATCGAATGGCGACCACCACGCAGCCAGGGAGGAGGACCCGAGTCCGTCATCTTCTTCGTTCGTTCTTCCTCCATCTCCGTCGTCGACTCGCTCCCGGGCAGCGGAGCTGCCACTTCCTCCAACGGCGGCCTCGCCGTCTTCTTGGTCGGTGACTCCTTCTTCGGCGACGCTCGCTCCTCCTCGTTCTTCCACACCTCTTCCAGTTTCAACTTCAACATCTTTGTGAGTTCGTTGATTGAGAGCCTTTCGAATTTCGACATGGCTGCGGTATGAGTGCCTGCAACCGGGCTCTGATACCATTGAAAGAACCCTCTTGTTAAGGATTCTAGAGACTGATCTTCGGTACCCGTAATTATCGTAACAATTAGGGATTTAGATGAGAATTGAGGATTATGGATTAAAGAACAGAATTGGGGTTGAGATAGAAGAATGGCCGACGACCTTTAGGGAAGAGAGGGACGAGATTTGAGAGGGATTAGAGACTAGGGTTTGAGGGATACTTTTCGTAATATTATTCTTGACTGATTATGACGTAAACCCAACGTATATATATATAGGAAATAAACCCAAAACCTAATAAACTAATCCTAACCTAATCGGCCTACCCTAGCCGCCCAACCCTCCTAATAAGCCTAACATAATTATTATTATATATATATATATCTAACACAGGGAACACAGCTTGTACCAATTCCACATTTCAACTTTCTGTTTCAGGGTCAATAAGATCGCGAACAAAGGAGTCCACCGAGATGAAAGCTGGGGACGATGATACAAAAGCCGATTCCGAAGGGAGCCAATGATCTCCCCACACCTTAACTTGGGCTCCATTACCAATTCTCCATCTCAAACCATCACATAAATATTCTCGTGCCTCCGCCAAATATAACTTGGACGACATCCCACCTGAGCCTCAAGAACCGAGCAATGCTTGTGATATTTGGCAGCGATGATTCTAGAAATAAGCGAGGACGACTTCTCTCCTATTAAGACTAACTATATTAATGATTTTCCATAACTATTAATGATTTTCTTAATTCCTCATTTATCCTTAATAACTAACTAACTAACTATTAACCTTTCATAAACTAACTAATTAAAATTCTATTAGCCAATAAGAAGGCTTGCGCATATGCTTAAACTTGCTTAAGCACAAGATCTGATCCGCTTTTAGTAGAGACTCGGGGCCATTCCTCCTAAATGTGGCAATTTTGCATCAAATTCATTAATTCATTTCAATCCAATTCATTCACTTTAATAACTAACTAATATAGTTCATAAATCAAATTCATTCGACATAAATCCAATTGAATTGGTGTATTTATGAATTGAATTCATGAATTGTTTACCAACTACATCAATAATAAACTACATATAATTCGTTGCGAATTGTCATTTTGTGGTCACATATCGGAGCAGGACGACCTGAGTTTAGGTCCTTAAACACCCTTTTTTAAGGAGGATCTTAAAACGTTTTGATTGGATGTTGTGGTTTTACGTAGATCGTAAGGAGTTATTAGTTAATAAGGATATTTAGGGTAGTGTAAATAATAAATAAACTCAAATGAATAACCCTACTAATCTCTAAACCCATGTCCCATTTTAATTTAATTTTTCCCTCCCAACCGAACGAACTGTTTCCTCTCAACGTTTTAAAGTTTCATTCTCTGGCCGTCTGATAGACCGTCATTTACACATGTTTTTACCCCCGTTCTTACACCGTTTGAGGTGTTGATTCTCGTGTTTTAGGCCGATTTCACGCTAGGTTGTGCTTGTTTGTGATATTTCAGGTCCTAGTACGTGAATGAAGGCTTAGGAGCGAGTCTGGGGTCGATTGGACGAAGAACGGACGAGTGGCGAGGTTTTTGGGAGCTGCACGGGCAGACCAGGGAGGCTGCACGGCCGTGCACGGTTGCAAGCTGGCCGTGCGCCTCATGCCGAGGAGCTGCACGGGCAGGCCCTGAAGATTGCACGGCCGTGCACCTGGCCGTGCAAGAAGCCTGAGTTCGACTTAAGGGATACGCTGCGTTTCATGGTGCACGGCCAGAATGGTGAGGTGCACGGCCGTGCACCCTGGCCGTGCAACACGGGAAACCCGGTTTTAAAGCCTAATCCGAGCCAGAAGTGAGAGAAGAGTGTTTTGAGAGCAAAAACAGAGCCCTAGAGAGAGAAAGTACGAAGAACACATCCTAGAAGCTGTCTTAGAGCTGGATTTCATCGAATCGAGCCTGGAGATCGTCATAGGAGTGAAAATCATCGTCCCGGAGCAGATTATCCTCATCGTTATGAGTATGACTAATCCGATTCTTGTTTTCTCTTCTCTCTCTATGGAGTAGAACCCTTCTCTCACTTGGGGATGAAGAACCCTAGTTCCATGTGTTAGGGGATTGATTGTAATGACTTGGGATGATACTACTGTTTGATTTTAATCGAATGATGCATGTTTCATGAATTGATTTGAGTCTGATCAGCTTGTCTCAATTTCTGCTTCAACCTGAGATAGATAGAATCTGATTAGGTTGTTAGAGCCTCTTCATTCGATAGTAGGAGGTTGGCTATACGAGAGTTAGCCAGTTTACTGCTTTGTACTGGTGTTCTTGGCGCCAGTAGTGGAGTTCTGTGTTCATAGCCTCAGCTTTCTATCCCGGTGAAGACTAGTCGTCTGCCGGGTAGTTAGACTGAGAGGGCTTGGTCAGCTTAAGAGATTCCAAGCTACTGTCGGATCTTCCGCAGTCTAATCAACAGTAAATCAACCCAGGGTAAATTGCAATTGAAACCTAACTAAAGAGCTAGGGGGATTCATTCCCGAGTGACTCTTTCCTGCTTAAGAAAACCGAATAATTTCCTGCTTTATTTCTGCTTTTAGTTTAAACAACAATCACTTACTCTAGTTGGCTAGATAACAGAGAATCACTGAGTAAGCAGTAGATCTAGAGCCCGGGTTGATAATATAACTTGCCTGTTACTGCATTCCCGGTCTGCGATTACACTTGGTCGCAGATTGGTGTTGTGTTTTGGCGTGTCAAGTTTTTGGCGCCGTTGCCGGGGAGCCTCTAGGTTATTGGGGAAACGTGAGAATTTGTTACTCTAGCTTTTATTTTCTGCTTTTTATTTCTTCCACCTGTGTGCCTTCACGGGTTGTTTCTGCTGATTGTGTGCAGGTAGTGCATGACCCGTAGCCAGTCGGGAGATCTACTACCACTAGACCAGGAGCTTGAACGAACCTGCAGAAACTTCAAGCGGGCTCTAAAGGCGCGACTGGCTGCGGAGGAGGCGCTATCACAGCTGCAGTTAGAGGAGGAAGAAGAAGAGATGGCTGAACCAGGGAACCATGCTGTGATCCCCGAGGAGCAGACCATGGGCTCCTACTGGACCGCTAGGGCTGCGGACATGAGGTCACCCATTCAGCACCCTCAGGTCCCAGCCAACAACTTTGAGGTGAGCACCTCCGTGATCACCATGCTGCGCGGTTCAGTAGTGTTCCGTGGTAAGGAGGGAGAGTGCCCTCGATCACATCTCAGGCGATTCCACGAGCTCATCGATGGAATCAAGATCAATGGGGTACCAGCAGATGCCATCCAGCTGAGGTACTTCCCATTCACTCTGGAGGGGCAGGCCAAGGAGTGGCTAGACACTCGATCTCCGGGCTCCATCACCACGTTCGCCAACCTGGCGGACAAGTTCCTCACCCGCTACCATCCTCCATCCAAGACAGCTGACCTGCAGAAGCAAATTACACATTTTGCTCAGGATGAGGATGAGACCATCAGGGATGCATGGGAGAGGTACAACAGTCTTTTCCTCAGGTGTCCCAATCATGGTTTCAACGATGCGTTCAAGGTGGGCACCTTCTATCACGCCCTCTTCCCGGATGACAAGCAGCTGATCGATTCGGTTTGTGGCGGGAACATGCTGACCAAAACCCCGCCACAGCTGAATCAACTCTTTGAAGAGATGGCGGAGAATGGTTATGATTGGGGCACTGCCAGGAGATCGAGGAGAGCACCAGGCCGGGGTGTGCATGCTGTGGGTACCCAGTCATCCGATTTGGTGCAGGTAGTATCGAAGCTGGTCTCAGCTATCGATCGTTCCGGGATGATTCCAGGGACCGGACAGCAGCAGGCGATGCTCTGCCAGTGGTGCGAGAGCACCCATCATATGGTGGAAGACTGCCAGGCGATGAAGGAATCGACCACGCCCCAGGAGCAGGTGAACTTCATCAACAATGTCAGGCGCAATGACCCCTACAGTAACACGTACAATGAGGGGTGGCGCCAGCACCCTAACTTCTCCTGGACTGGGCCAAATCCCAGACCACCAGCTCCACAGGGACCACCGGGCTTCCAGAGGCCACCATATCAGCCCAGACAGGGGCAATTCCAGCAGCCAGGTGCAGCCCCTGCTGCCCCAGTGCAGAATGATCAGATGGCTGAACTGCGGGACTTGGTGGGTTCTCTTGCCAGTGTTAGTGCTCAGAAATTCAACACCTTTGAGCAATTCATGGAGAAGGCCTCGGGTCAACTCCTGGCTCTGGAAGCTGGTCAGAGGAATACACGGGCTGTTTTGCAGGATATCCAGACCCAGCTGGGGAGCGTGGCCCAGGCAGTGGCTCAAAGGGCTCCTGGTACTCTACCAGGGCAGACCATCCCTCACCCGCCGACCCCGAATGAGCGCTGCAATGCCATCATGACCAGGAGTGGCAAGATGACTATTGATCCCCCTGCTCGGGAACCGGAGAAAGAAAGCCCTGTCTTAGCGGCTCCAGCGGTTGAACAGGAAGTAGAGAAGGAAGTTGAGGTGCCTGCACCTAAACCGCAACCAGTAGTGAAGGAGTATGTCCCTAAACTCCCTTTCCCTACTCGGTTGCACAAAGAATGTCCAAGTGCCCTTCCTGGAGGCACTATCGCAAATGCCAAAGTATGCGAAGTTTCTGAAAGAGCTTCTCTCAAAGAAGCAGAAGCTGAGTGAGCTGGCCACGGTAGAGCTCAGCGAGGAATGCTCGGCTATTCTGCAAAACAAGCTTCCGCAGAAGAAGAAGGACCCAGGTAGTTTTACTATCCCGTGCTCTATTGATAAATTGCATGTAGAGAAGTCCTTGGCGGATTTAGGTGCTAGTATCAATGTTATTCCATATAAATTGTTCATGAAACTAGGCCTAGGTGAACCCCGTGCTACTAGGATGACCCTTCAATTAGCTGACAGATCTGTAGTGCATCCT